GAGGACGACGAGGAGGACGACGACGAGGACGACGACGAGGACGACGAGGAGGAGGAGGAGGACGAGGACGACGAGGACGACGACGAGGACGACGACGAGGAGGACGACGACGAGGACGACGACGAGGAGGGCGAGGATGACGAGGACGACGATGAGGACGATGACGAGGAGGACGACGACTACTGCTACTGCTACTGCTACTGCTACTGCTACTGCTACTGCAACTACCACCCCGCCACCACCACTCCTACCTCCACCACTTATTCTTGAGGAGGCCCAGAAGGCCCTGGCCGCCGTGGAGGCGGCGCCCGCCTCCCAGCGGGCGGCGGCCTGGTCTCGGCCCCGGTCCCTCGAGGGGCTATCCTTATCCGCATATATCAGAAAGCCTAAGGCGGTTTATGTTTTACTCTAATTTTTGAAGGGCCTTAAGCGACGTTGCAGCCCATTCATGCAAAGTGCTTGTTGAGTGCGTTTCCTTACTGGTTCATAGTATGGAATATGGGAATATATCATATCCAGGAATTATACATGAGCTATATAGGGATTACGTAGGAATTATGTAAGGAATATATATATATATATTACAGGGATTCTGTTCCCTGATTTCCTACTGAGAACCTGTAAGTTTCTGCACTGAGGAAAGTATGTGAAGCTACCTGGGCCGCTGCGCTCGCAACTTGTCTGCAGCGGAACCTCTTCGGTTATATATAGGGTTTAGGGTTTCATGGTTTAGAGTTTATAGGGTCTAGGGTCTAGGGCTTAGGCACAAAAAGGGCATTGGCTGCGATCACGCGATCCACTCCTCTTCTTCCCTTCAGCTCAGTGTTGACTGCAGATTACGGGTGTTAGCCTGCCTGCTGCCTCATGAAGGCGCTGCTGAAGCATCCCTTTGCTTGCTTTGATTTGTGGTCTGTTGGCTTGCAACGTTTAGGAGGTGATTTGGAGTTTGTCACCGTAGAAGTGCTTTTTGGGGGGTTTACAATCTTCCAGGAAGATTGTGTAATTTGCCCAGTATTCAAGAAATTCTGTTTTGTGGAAAACGTGAGTCTGCTGCGCCTGCTCGCATGGCCAGGCGAAAGGCGCCTGAGCCCACAAGGGCAAACCTGCGGGCATCTCTGAATCCTTGGACCTGGAAGCGTGAAAGACTTCGTTAATCACTAAAAGGATTTTCCCGGATCCTGGTGGTGCAGAAAGGTCTTCCATGGTCTTCCGGATTTCAGCCAAGAGATGCCATGCTAGGTGCACTGCCTCCGAAGAACAGTTATGAACACGAGGAGCCGGAATGGCCGCACCTGAGTCTAATCTCAGTGAGACATGCGAAGATGCCAATGTGATTTTTCATTGTGCGCGCATCTATGTAGCCGAAGATACGTCTAGCAGAATGTGCGTCTAGACCTCTCTCACAGTCTGCCTCCCTCTGTCTCCCATGTGTACATACATTGTCAATTTTTTCCCTTGCAGTTTTCGCCATCCAGCCCTCCCTGCACTGGCCTAGAACAAGTCAGGCCGACACACAGAAATTTTCCCCAAGTCCTGGCAGCGCTGGGTCATTGATGGGACAAAAGGGCAATTCCTATTCCTAGTTAACTCGTGGGTTTCTCAAAATTGGGCACCTTCTGGGAAGCCCCAATAACAGAGCGTACGTAGCCCATCCCATTTCTGTAAGCAGGCATGAAGAAGTTGTAGTGTGAACTCCAAAACATGATCCAGATACAGCCGAAGTGCTCACAGAAGGTTGAATAGAAAATCTATTTGATCTTGCCGCTGGCACAAGGCAGTGGTCTCGAAAGCCGGGCCCTTTTTGGGGACCCCCTACAACTGCAAGCCTATCTCCCCTTCAGGGATGTGTTGTGGACCCTCTTTTGAGACACCGCCAAGTTTTCCTCAGGCACGGGCGTTCAGTCCCGTTGTTTCAATCAGTGCATCTCCAGCTCGAATCGCTTCTGATCTAAACGGTTGACATGTGTGGGATTCCTGTGAGGGTCTTGATCATCTTAGCACAGTCCTGGGGTTTCTGTAGCATTGGACCAGTGCTCCCACGAAATCGAGCTATGCATGAAATGGAGAGACTAGCTTGTTAAGGAACCTGCCTTGTAGACAGACTGGGGACCGAGCTATTGTTTGACTCCAGTTTTCTGAGCTTGAAGCACGATTCAGACAGACTATAAGTGAGATGAGCACAGGGAGTACTGTCAGGTTTCCAGGGGATTCTCCGAAAAGCTTAAGGTAAGCATGGTGCTTTCTGTTTTCAAGTAAGCATCATCTCAGAAGTTGCCAGAAGAAGTCGAACATACAAGCAGTGTATACGTGCTGCCTCAAGTTCTAGTGTTCTAACAAACTAACTACTTCCCTGAGCCTGCAAGGTTGCCAACAACCGAATCCCTATGGACCCCCTAGCTTTCGCGAATTAGATCCAGGCACCGCGGCCCAAGCCCCAAACCCCAAGCCCTAATTCCCAAACCGGAAACACCCCAATATAACCCCAACATAACCTCTATATACTATATTATATAGCAGTTTCATGTATTCCAATTTCTTTTCCATTATCCCAATATAACCCCGACATATTATAGTAGTTTCCATTTTCTTTTCCATTATTCAAACTCTAAAGCCCAGACTCCGCAAGCTCCACAGTGGTGTGCGACGTTTGGCCTCCAAGTTGGCAGCCCGTTCCGCTGTGGGGCGGGTGCCGGCTGGGACCGCCGGACAACTCGGACAGCCGGCCGAGGGTCGTCAAAAAAAAGGTCCCCTGAGCGATGCCAGGAATTCTGGGTTGAGCGTTTAAGAATGATGGGCCTTGGGCTGGGAAGATGTACATAAATTACTTTTATTTAACTTCTTGGTATTGTGAGTAATCTGGGCCCGGCAGGAAGACTTGCATAGGTTTCGTGAGCCTCCTTTAGAGAGCCGCTGGCAAGAAATCAGCTGAAAGAGCAAGGTTTCCTCAAATTGCTGCTGGGTTCCCGAGCGGCTTCGGTAAATGTGTGTGATATGCTAGTTGCGATTCGTATTCCTCGTTTGTTAAAAAGGAGCCTGTGCTTCTAAAGCGTATAAGCAGTGCTTGTTTCATGAAAGTTGCTTTGCACACGCTCTTCAACAGCGAGTCTAAAACTGCATATCTTTCAGGTGTGATCAACTAGTTTAATCTCTAGATCTCCCCCTTCAAGCCTGCAGGTACCAATTCGTGGAGGCCATGCTGCGAATGGCTGAGGCGAAATACCTTCGCACCGCCAAGGCATCCGACCTCAGCGAGGCCCTTGAAGGTTTCAGAGTCGAGGAATTGGCTTTGGCACCTTAGGTGTTTTGGGGCCTGTGGGTTTTGGCTATTTGAGCCTTCGCAGTATTTGTAAAGCGTGTTGGGAGCAGACGTGACAGCCATCGTTTGACGTGCATGTTTCAGATAACGAAAGTGAGGGAAGCTACCTTGTCGGTGAGACATGGCTCACCACAATGTCTTGGTGCCTTCATGCCACTGCCAGGCTGTAACCATGCTGATGTCGCAACACTTGCTCGAGGAGTTCTCGCCCATCTATCAGCAGGAGCAGTGACTTGGCATCAATAGGCAGCTGGAGCCGTTGCACACGAATCCAAGACGGAACTGTCCCCTCCCCAGGCAGTTCCTCATGGACATCATGACAGAGGAGGTCGACTACGTCTTCAAGAGCAACCTGAGCCCTTTGGTTTGCCTTGGGTGGTCTGAAACGCTGCCTCCCAGCTTTGAGCCAAGGTGTGCTGAATGCGGCCTTTCTTATCTATGCAGGCTCTGTGGATGCTCCGCTGCAGAGAAGGGAATGTGAAGGTGTCAGTTTGGGTGCAAGGCGGTCGCTTGCTGGCTTGCCGCTCTCAGGACACACCAGCTGAGATGCCTTACGTCAAAGACCAGATGTCCAAAACCAAAAGGACAAGACAAGTCTTGATGGCAGATCCATTGAACTTGAGAGTTATTCAGATTGCTTCTTACGCTCTTTATGCACACAGATTGCACCCGAATTTTGTTGTCTGGACATGTCAGTGGTTAGCAGGCCAGCCCATCAGACTCGGCCCGTGCTATCACACATAGGAAGATCACACTGCCCGACTTTTTCGCGCTGCTGGATGACTGTACCGCCCTCAGCAAATTTGTATGGACACCACGGAATCGTAATTGCAAGACTTGGTCTCCTTGTGAGCTCACTACCTCATCTTTGTGCCAGTTGTACATATTCCACGAAGGATGGTTGTGTTGCCTTGGTTGTAAAAACCGAAGCCACAGTAACAGCTGTCAGGCGATGCCTATGATGAGCGCTTCCTGCGCCGACAGGCTGCCCGCGCTTTCCAATTGGGGGGCATGTGGCAGATTGACGAGGCTGGGGGTGAAGATGCTGAAGCAGCCCAGCTAACTCTTTCCGCAGAGCTCTTGGCTCTCTCCTATGCCTGATTCGATGAGGTCCAGGGGCGTTCCTTCCGCGTGTGGAACCTTAAGCATTTCGTGAAGCCGAATTGGAGGTTTCGTCCGGTCGGCACATGCAGCTCAGCTTCGTTGAGCGATCGCCCCAGAAGCGCAAATGCATGCCTTGGGCGAGATTGTTCTTTTTCATTTCAAACGTGACTTCACTGCTCTTGCAGTACCACTGGCGCTGTTGTATTGTAGTACTAGTCACGAGTACCAGCACGAGCAGCAGCAGCAGCAGCAGCAGCAGCAGCAGCAGCAGCAGCAGCAGCACTGTAGTAGTAGTCGTCGTTGTCGTCGTCGTGCCAGTAGTGCTAGTAGTACAGATAATACTGGTAGTATTAGTAGCACTGGTAGCACTAGTAGCACTACTAGTACTACGACTACTTGGTGGTAGGCGTCGTCGTCTTTATTGTCATCGTCATAGTTGTAGTTGTCGTAGCAGCAGAAGAATTTGGACGTACAATAAGTAGAAGCCGTAGTAGTGGTCGTAGTAGTGGTGGTGGTCGGCGCAGTAGTCGTCATACTGGTAGTGGTAGTAGAAGTAGTAGTAGTCGTCGACGTCGTTGTGGTCCCACCCCTACCCCCACCCCCACCGCCACCGGCGCTGCCGCTACCATCACCTCCACCGCCGCGACGATGACCACAAGAGGAATAAGAACAAGAATAAGAAGCAGAAGAAGAAGAAGAAGACAACAACAAGAAAGCAACAACACCTCCATTGGCAACAACAGCAGCAACAGCAGCAGCAGCAGCAGCAGCAGCAGCAGCAGCAGCAGCAGCAGAAGCTGCGTCAGGGGGAGGGACAGGGACAGCAACAACAGCAACAACAACAATAATACCAATTACAAGTTGTTTTGTTATGACTACTTCTCTCTCCTATCTTGTTATTGCTGCTGCTGCTGCTGCTGCTGCTGCTTCTGCTACGACTACTGCTACTGTTACTGCAAGAAGCATTTCTGCACTTGTCCATTGCTCCTGCTTTTGCTGTTGCACGGCTGCGGCTCCTGTCACGATCAGAACTACTTGATCATATTGTGTCACGGACTTACCTGCCACTTACAATGCCACAACAGCAGTTGCAGCAGTGATGGTCGCAATGATGTTGCTGCGCAAATGTCCTTGCAGAATATGATACAGCTTTGTAGCACGTTCCTTCAAAAAAGGAGCGCCTGGCTAAACAGGCAACCCGCTTTGCGACGAAACTCAAAACCTACCAACAACCTGACCTAGACCCTAAATCCTGCGGCACTACTCGTAATAATGAAACCATGGACAGTTTCTGTCACTGTGAGGTTTATCATGGCGATCGGTGCTGCCAGCCCCCAAGTTCTGTAAAAGGGAAACGTGAGATGTGCATATTTTGGAATTCTGGGTCGGCTATCCTGGGGAATCCATTGGAGTAAAAGTACGACCCATGTAAAGTCGTTTTAGAGCTAGAGGTGTCTCAAAACAAGGACTCTGGTGACTCTAGTGGTCTTGTTGATTTCCATGAGGATTCTGGGCCATGCTGCTCCAGGCTTCCTCTCAATTCATCTTTTGTGTCGGTTTTTGAGGACACATTGCGCAGACAGTGGATACTTGTACCAAAATATCATACAGGAGACCCTAAACCACAACACCCCTAAATGCAGCCCCCAGTTGTAAACGTTTCAAATGAGAAGATCAGCATCCTAGGCTCACACATTGCAATGATCGTGCAATGGATGGAATTAGCAATATTAGGGATAATGGAAAAGAAAATGGAAACAACTATAGTATATTGGGGTTATATAGGGATAATGAAAAATAAAATGGAAACTACACGTAACAGTATTATTAAGTATCCAGGATTGAGGGCAAGCGCCTCTTCCAAACCCTTGCGGTCACACTGCACGCGCCGTGCTGCGTCGGGGGGGGGGGGGCCAACGAGTCGGCGCCCGGCTTTCTCGACCCCTCACCGCCTTCCACCTCTGCTTGGGTGAGTCAAGCTTGCCTTAGGGGTTCTAGGTTCACGGCTGCCTGTTTTGGGTTTGGGGTCTGGTTTTAGGAGCAGTTGCCTCCTGTGCCCTGCCTGCCCTCGACGCGCACGTCCCCAAGCGATCGCGTCTTCCACAGCCTTTCCGCGTGCTTGCGCGCGTACAGCTGGGGTTTTTCACCCTTCGCAGAAGGTTTTTTTTTCCACTGTTCTCCTGCGCCTTACAAGGAGACGCTGGCTCGCGCATGTGCCTCTTTGGAAGTCCTGTAACCCCCCAATGGCCTTTCGAAGTGGGACATGCTTGCAAGGACCACCCTATTCCCTTAGTGTGTTTTCCTAACACTCTCCGTTCCCTGCCAGCAGGGATTCAAGTGGATTCAGGGTTTTGGGTTTAGGGTTTGAGGATGTTTAGGGTTTTAAGCAGTACTAGTGACAGTAGTGACAACAGTACCAGTATCAGCCCATCTGGCAGCTGCACTTGGCCCCATGCCGACGACCGCAGCTTGTCGTCGTCAGATCTGATAGCGCCGAAGGAAGCCTTGTATGGTCTATACTGGGGTCCCCTCATTTTGGGAAACTACCATTTATTATTTCTATTGTCACTACCGATTATGAGGTGATCTTCCTGCGTGAGTTCTACCGGCCGGAAGAGTTTGCAGATCTGCTGGAGGAGCTGAGGTAAGAGTTTGTTTTGGCCAGGGTTTGACGTAATGTTTGTAGGTCACTTTCGAACACTAGTGATATCTAGAATAGTGTTTATTGTCATGCGCTTATAACTTGAGTCTTCCCTACCCTCGGGGGTAACGGGCTTTAGGTCTAGGTTGAAATCGGAAGTCTAGATAGAGGCTATCTTTTGTCATTGTTACCAAGATCGATCCAGTTTTCACGGGAGAAGAGAGGTTCAGGGAATGTCTACGAAACTTGAACAGGAAAGCTTAATGAAGGGAAGCACACGGGAATTCAGTGGTTCAGTAGACATGCCAGCGTAAGGTGTAAGAATCCAGAGTTATCTTGGAGAGCTTTTGTTTTCTGAGTTCTTTCAATCACAGCAGGGATAGCAGGATCCCCAAGAGGGGAGCACAGTCTTTTCCACCAGATTCTCGAACATCTCCTGCTTTGCTGAAGCGTTAGCTGCTAGCTGCTTTGTGAAAGCACGATCTGGTAGTTGTAAGCCGGGAGATCCTGAGCATACAGACCTTCAAGAGGTGATTTGTTTGTTTGAGAAGCCCTGAACCCTATTATGTCTATGGCAATGTGACAAAATCTCACATTGGCCGAAATGCCAGGAGTTTCTGCTGGACCAGCTGCAGCCGGTTGTTATTGAACAGAGGCACAATCCTGCTATATACTTCTAAATTAGCAGTAGCTGGGTTCGGGATAGCAGCACATATGTGAATAGTCAAACAGTAAGAATTAAGAATGATACAGCTAGTAAGACCCGTACAGACACTGATCAACACGCTTGCCCAAGCGCTGCGTGCTGCCTACGTGCAGACAATCGTGTGGGATATTTTAAATTGAAGGTCGAGGTAAGTAGGCGGAACCTTTGTGAGGGCCCCTGAGCCCAGGTTACCCCACAGAAGCTACAAGGCTCCTCATTCAGGGTCTGTCCTAAAGCCCCTAGACTCTGCTAGTGCTAGCATTTACATTAATGCTGGACCACTATGCATAAACGTCACAACGCCTGCAACAACAACAACAACAACCACTACTTCTAGTTTTGCTTTGCTACTACTGCTACTGCTGCCGCTGCTCCTGTTTCTACTCCTGTTAGCCAGGCCTGAGCGAAATCGTCGCAACGTGGAAGTGCGCGTGACTCAGACATTTGCTTCGCAAGGCCTTGTCACTTCTGCTTCTTTGAGAAGAACTCAAGCAATCAGAGCAGAGGGAAGAAGAACGGCAAACTGAAGACGTCAGTAATATTACCCTCATATCATCGAAATCATGTGTGCAGGAACAGCTACAAATAGCAGCGCATCGTTACCTTGTATACGTAAAACAGCCATGCCAAAACTGGTGCCACAGACATGAAAAGAGCCCAGGCAGCTGACCCACAAGGCCATCCGCACAGTGTGCAAGGAGGTTTTCGCAGAAGCCGACGAGGAGAGAGGGCATCAATCCTTACAAGCTTGGCTACAGGCTCAACACTTGTGATGATGCTGATGCTGATGCTGATGCTGATGCTGATGCTGATGCTGCTGCTGCTGATGATGATGATGATGATGATGATGATGCGCCTCATGATCATAGTACTACTCTGACCCTCTTCTTTCTTCTCCCATGACACTTGTTCTTCATTCTGGCCTGCTCGTGGTCGTGATGGTTTCTACTTCCACGACCCAGTTGTGATTCATGCGCTTTATTGGCATCCATCGGTGACATCCAGCCCCAAGATCGACACTCCTTGCGGCAGAGGTCTTTGTCCACTTGCTGCTCCTGTCTAGATACGTACGCAGTTGCATCAAGGTAACTTCGCCCCCTCTTTCCCGATCCTGTTGGGGAATTGCTTATAAA